GTGTCCAGTCTGGGCCAAGACCTGACCCACAGCAGCTTAGTTTCAACAAGATTGCTGCATTTATGTGCAGAGTTGAAGCAGATATAACTCTAAGGGTGGCTCCATGTGATTGGAATTAGCTTTGGTTTGCTTGAAGGAGTACGCACTCCATAGCTCTAGTGTCTTGAATCTTAATAACAACTTTATGTTATCCAAGCAATACTCTTCTCTATCAGGGGTGGCAAACATCCCATCTGCAGGCCTAATTAGGCCTCCCAGGCCTCTTCATTTGGCCCTCCAGGCCACTTTGGCCCTACACCTGAAGTCATATATGGGTCGGGGGTAACTCTGGCTCAGCTGACAGCGTGTTTGCAGGCACCACCTATTACCTGATTGGTGGTATATGTAAAGTCCCCTTTGAAGTACTGCACAAAACAGTTTTGAAAGGGGAGGATGAGTTCTGAAGATCCAAAAAATGATCAGGTCTTCCAGAACCCCCAAACTGCTCAAAACAGGCACTTTCAATCAGCTGATTTGTGGTTAATCAGCTGATTGTCAGATATTCATATTTACATCAGGTGATTGACAATTGGACAGCTTTGTCTAGCTGTCAAAACTGGCCTGCAAGGGCTAGGGGAGATAAAACAACAAACGGGCATGGATGGGGATTTGGGTATGAAGCATAGCTTTTCCCTTTTCCCTTTTCTTGCGGGAAATTTCCCTTAAAAAAAGGGGAAAGTTGACAGCTATGGTATGAAGGTTAAATGCAATGAAAAAGTAAGCCTTTGCAACAATTTGTAAGAGAAATTTCTAGAAAAAGCCATTTAACAGAGGAATCTTGCAGAATTCATGGCTATTAGGAGCCCACTTGAAAATACTGCATAGTATTTGAGGTGTGCTTTGACACTGAATGATACCTGTCTGAGGCAGACCCTTAACATGTATTCTATTCAAACTTTCCTGTTGGCAGTCATGGAGTCAGAATGGCCTGGGATGTCATCTGGTTCAACTCCCTGCCCTGCTCAAGTCAGGACAATTATTATTCTTATGTTTATTGAAGGAGGACAGAATCCAATGTTGTGGTGGTGAACTTCTGCAGGACTTCACCTCTCCTCTCCCATGCAACTCTTGTGGCCATCCAGAGCAGATTTTGAGGGTGGATTGAGGGCTACAGAGGGAAGGAAGGTGAAGTCTCATTAAATGAGTAGAGATTCATTCCCCTTGCTCACAAACAATGGCTGCGTTCACATGACAGTTTATTCCATTTTCACATATTTTCCGTGACTGTTAAGTTCTGCACTTTATTTGAGCTTTCACACGATGTAAAAGCCAATTCTGGAGCTACAGTTTAGTGCTCATTTCCACGTTATTTGCTTCCAGAAAAAAAAAATCCATTGGCAAACAATGTGGAAAAGAGCACTAAGCCTGAGCTATATTCCCCTATAGTTCCAGAAATGGTTTTTACATCACATGAAAGCTCAAATGTAATGTGGAAATTAACAGTTAGGGAAACATTTTAAAAATAGAATAAACTGCCCCGTGAATGCAGCTAGTGCTGGATATAACCAATAATTTTTTATTCTCTCCTCACAGAGCTACAGTTTCCAGCACCTTAACAAATTCCTGTTCCTAGGATTATTAGCGGGGGGGGGGGGATGCTTTAAATTCATGGTGTGCAATGCAGCCTGACTTCCAAGTAAGCATGCATAGTATGGTGCACTATATATTTTTCATTTGGTTAAGCTCTGACTTATAAATAAACATGCATTTTACAAGACAATATTTGCTAATGCCCCAGACTACTTTTTTTAATGCCATAAGACTATATTTAATGCCAGGAATCTATCAAGGGTGGTGTCACCTGTGTTGTGCCAACAAGAGGCAATTTTTAAGGAACTCTTTCTCTTTCTCTTTACACATACAGAATGGCAGCAAATCAAATCAAGTGAGCTTGCCAGACAGGGATGAGGTGAAAGAACAGAACAGCATCTGGACCCTATGTACGTGGTTCATATACTTCCAAGGGGAAGCATTTTCCACACTCATTGCAGCTTAGCAAGAAAGAGCAGGGCGGGGGAAGGGAACAACAACAAAAAATCAGGCAGAGAGGGGGGGAAACAGGGGAGTCCTTTTGTATCTGTGTCCAATATGGTTTCTTTTGATTGTTCATTCTCCATAGTCAAGGGCTCCCCATGGGTTCTCATCTGTTACCCAGGCACAGCCATACCTGCTTGCCTGTGTGAAAGTGGTTCAGCTGTCGGCTCTGGATGAGGCTAACAGATCACATCTATCTCCCAGGCATCTACTGAGCTCACAGGGCTCCAAGGATCAAGCCCCGGACAAGAATACAAAAGCAGGTCTGTATAGAAAAACAGCCAAACTTCTGTATTGTCCTTAGCTCATTGTATGGACACTGGAGGTCAAAACTATCCAACATTCTTGCTTTCACAAGATACGTTTGTTTGTGTTTTTTTGTGTGTGTGTGTGTGTGTGAGAGAGAGAGAGAGAGAGAGAGAGAGAGAGAGAGAGAGAGAGAGAATGATTCTTGTTGTACTTTATATGGGTGAAATTACTTAAATATATATAAAATAAACTGTAAGATAACAGCTTTCGTAAGATGCAACTTATATTACATGGAAACTGTTCTAAAAGGATGTAATCAAAACATAGGTATAAGAACAATATGTAATTTTAGGTGGCATATGGAGAAAACATTTTTCTGCGATGAAAGCGATTGCTAGAAACAAAATATGCTGCACTGGCTGAGGACGGACACCAAGGTGCACTAAAAGAAAACTTATTTGAAATGGTAAGAATTAAACTTCAACCACAGAAACAGCACATATTTTTGAAAGTGGTAGGTGGAAAAGAGATGGATAGGGTGACACCTAGTGTGGTTCTTGAAGAACTTAGAAGAAAATATTCAACAAACATAAACAGTGGTAGCCTGCATGTGTCAGCTGTAATAAGATTTCAGGGGACACACACATACATGTAGCACATTTTCTGTTTCAGTTCTTCAGTTAAGATAATAAGCTTGCAATGGTTGTTTCTTGATCCTTGGATCACACAGCATTTTATGAAAGTAGCTATTCAACTAATTAACTTATGATTAACTGGTAAGTCAATTTACTAATGAAATTGGCATGGTCAAAGTAGCAGAGAAAGGAGGTTTGAAGCCTAAGCCTATGCATTATTACTCAGAGGCAAGTCTCATGAGTTGTATAGGATTTTCTTCAAAGGCAGTGTGCCTTGGCCTTTTTTAAAAGGTTCAGTTGATTCCTTCTACTTTTCTTGATGATATGAGGAATTTATTCAGATTTGCTCATTCAGTTTTAAAGTAAGTTTTAGAGAGTCTATGTTCTGAGCCTCCTTTTCTCTTAGTGCTGAAACACCTCTTCATCATGAAGTACAGCAGATTCACTACCAATTTCTTTAATTCTTGTTTGTTTCACATTTTTATTTTAAATTGTATTACCTCAGATTTTCTTGCCTCTCATTCCTCCCATACACCCCTTCATATTTCTCATTTTAAACATTATTTTTACCTCAGATTTTCTCAGCTCTCATTCTCTGCACACCTCCATACACGTTTTTCATTTTTTAATTAAACATTTTTACCTCATATTTTGTCACCTTTCGTTTTCATTCTCCCTCCCTCCCTTTCCTCCCCTTCTTTTTTCTTCCCACTCTCTTCCATAGAGCTTTTCACTTTCTGAAAATAGCCCAATGAAAAAAGATTTGCTGTCCCATTCGTTCCGCACTGCCCCCATAAAAAGCAGATATTTTCAGGTTGACTGAAAGTTTAACTTAGTTATTTTTTTATTTTTAAAGAAAATCCAGCGTGACCTGGCACGTGTTGGTGCCCTTGCCACTTAACAAATTACTTGTTTTTTTGACCTAAGTTAAACACTGTGCAAATTTCCCTTGTCCGTGTTTTCATTGTGTGCCCACTTTACTGATAAATAATAAAGAGCTAACTTGTTGGGCTTTTCAAAGCAGGGCTTCACTAATTTACACCAGATCACCTCACACCATAATTCTACCAATAATATTCTAGAACGCAAAATGGACTAAAGTAGTCTGCCTCCACTAATGTCAGGAGGAAAATAACAGTTTATGTTAGCTGACGACTTAGCTGCATATGTTCAGTGAGATTCTAAGGCTGGGAGAGAATAGCAATATAATTTCATAACACAATATGGATAATAATATATTCTTCTTTAAGTATGAATAGTATTCATATTAAAATCTGAACATGAAACAAAATGCAGAAAGTACACAGCATCTTTTCTCAAAAGCTCCCAATTTTTTCTATACCGCTTTGCAGGCTCAGTATGTAAATCAAAACTCCGCTTTTGGGAGTTGTTTAATTTGCAAAGGAGTGGAAGCTAATGAGCCTGTTCTTATGACAGTTTGATGGACACATCATGAGTCTCTTCTCCCCCCCATCCTCCCATTGTGTAGCTGCAGCTTCTTAAAAAGGCCTGTTAAAATACCAACCACACTCCTTTGCATGGGAGCATTAAAGAGTTTCTTTTTATGGATATATGCTCTATTGAATACCCATGGAAGCCCAGAATGCCCTTCATCTCTATAGACATCACCTTACAAAACAATAACTCCTTTTTTAATTTATATACTGATGCCATTTCTCCAGCAAGGTCCTGAATATTGAACTGGTCATGCATGGGATTGCCCCTCTCTGTGAACCCCCTTTTTAGTGTCTCCTTCGTGCCATTTAATTTTCAAAAGCGAGAAATATTGTAGAGTTGTAAATCTTTGGCCTTTCTTTAGCCAGACCATCCAAGTTTATATGAAGTTCTACCTCTCAAAAGTGATTTAAGGAGGAGGTCAAGCCAGCCTGCCACACATTTCCTGGCAGGTGGTCAAGCATGGAAAGAGAAGTCTTAGCAGAGTTAAGGTGAGTTAAAGTCTCTTGTCTGTGATATAGACATTGTTGTGTGGCATTGTTGCCATTTTTGAGTTTTCTGCAGTGCTAAGGTTTTCTGATATTTGTGCACTTAAATGCATAGGGATAGCTCAGTTGGTAGAGCACAAGACTCTTAATTGCAGGCTCGTGGGTTCAAGCCCCATGTTGGGTGAAAGTTTCCTGCACTGAAGGGGGGGTAGGACTAGATGATCCTCACGGTCCCTTCCAACTCTACAATTCTGTGATTCTGTGACATATACAGTGCATTTCTCTCCCACAATCATTGCAAACAAAACACATATTGGGTAAAGATAATACATATGTGTATTATCCTTGGGAAGGAAGCTGCATATCCACCAGCCATATAGTTGGTGGGACGCAGCCTCCATCCTAAGCCTCTGCAGGGATCGCTCTCTTCCCGCGGAGGCTTGGAGGCAAGCTGCACGCCCACAAGCCATATGGTTGACAAGGCGTGGCTGGCGGGCATGCAGGAGAGAAAGGGGAGGCCGCCAGCAAAGCTGCGCAGCTCCCCCACTCGCTGGGGCGCCCCTGAGAGGCCGGCACCCTGGCGCGATGCACCAGTAAACCCAATAGGAAAGACGGCTCTGCCTTCTTGCCACAGCGGTACTTATTTATCTGCTTGCACTGGTATGCTTTTGAACTGCTAGGTTGGCAGAAGCTGGGACAGAGCAACAGGAGCTCACCCCGTCGTGCAGATTCAAACTGCCGACCTTCCGATTAGCAAGCCCAAGGGGCTCAGTGGTTCAAACCACAGCGCCGCCCACCAAGTAATCTAAGGAAATACCTCCTCCATTATAGACCTGCCTGATAGCTAAGGTCAGTTCCAGAGTTTAACTATGAGCTGAATGAAAAAATACTTTCTTTTGTATGTCCTGAAACTTCCAACATTTACAGTGGTACCTCGGGTTAAGTACCTAATTCGTTCCGGAGGTCTGTACTTAACCTGAAACTGTTCTTAACCTGAAGCACCACTTTAGCTAATGGGTTCTGGTACTATGAGATAGGGAGAAAAACTTCTACCCACTTTGTCTACACCATGCATAATCCTGTACATCTCTATCATGTTCCCATTTACTCGCCTTATTTCTGAACTAAAAAGATCCAAATGCTGCAACCTTTCCTCACAGGGCAGTTGCTCTTACCACATGATAATTTTGGTTGCCTTTTTCTCAGCTCTTTTCTGCTCTGTTGTATAATTATTGTGGTACAGCAACCTGAACTTAACATAGCACTCCAAGCACTGCCACACGATACATTTGCATAGTGGCATTATGATTGTATTATTTCCAAACCCTTTCCTAATGATGACTGGAATTCACCTTCTTCACATTGGGCACTCATTTTAATCAAGCTATCCACTATGACTCCAATACCTCTTTTCTGGTTATCACCACCAGTTCAGACTTCGTAAACATATTTGTAAAATTGGGGTGGGGGTGTTGGGTCCCCAATATGCATCATTGTGCACTTATATTGAATTGTACCTGCCATTTTACTGCCCATTCTCCCTGTTTTCAGATTCCCTTTGGAGCTCCTCACAATTACTTTTTGTTCTTGCCACCTAGAACAATTTGGTGACTCATCTTTAGGTGCAGGTAAGCTGTTTGTTGGCAAAAGCCAAGAACTCCATTCAAACTTTTGTCATTTCTGCACCATGTTTTGAATTTTTATGTATGTGCTTCTTCTCCTGCCCTGGGATAAGAGTGCATTTGATTCTGTGGTCATTCTGCCAGCATAATGGCAGCAAATCTCTAGACTCGGCGTTATGTAATGATAGGGTTGCTTGGTTCAGTGCTTAACTTTTGCCAGATCATAATTATTTTTAGGAAACTTGGATCTTCCTCTAGAACATCTGTACATGATTGTACATTTGAAGCATGAAAGGAACGCCTTAGTCATAGATATTCCAATAATCATGTTCAGTTACCCATAAACTCACAGATAAGATACCATGTACATATGATGTAAGACTGTGTACACACGATACGTTTAAAGCACCTTCCCTTCACCCCAGAGAATCCTGTGAACTGCAATTTACCCCTCACTGAGCTACAATTCCCAACACCTTTAACAAACAATAATTCCTAAGATTCTTGAGGGCATATTTTAGATGTGCTTTAGATATATGGTGTGTACACAGACTAAGTGTGTAAAATACCAGATTATGGCTGATTCTGTGAAACAGACATGCATAAAAAATACTTGTCAACATGACCAAGACTGCTCAAGGCCTAATTCCATGCACTCCTTTTTTCTAAGTACTTAATTAATAGGCTGTCAAGAACATGTATTTCTGTCACACTAAGAGTTAGCAGCCCCTTCTGTACTCAGTGGACATAATCAATGTGCCTGAATACTTTGTGGCAATTCTTGTTGACTCCATCAATTATCAGTATTCTATCCCAGTCCTTTCCATCAAAATCACTTCAAAGACTCAATATAGATTGATTCACACATGACCATTACCAAAACTGTCTTCTAGGATCTGGGGGAGGGGAGAAAAGGAGGCAGATTCTTGTCTTACGTTTCTTTGAACCCACTGTTGTCTGTCTACATGTATTTACTTTGCATGGCCTATGGCTGAACCATGGAAATTAAAAAACAAACTGCTATTCAGCAAGTCATGTCAAAGGTGACCGCTATGCTAGAAAGTTGACTGTGGGACAAACATTCGCTCTGATTAGAAGGCCTCTTCTGCAGCGTTGCTGTCTCCACAGTTACATACCTGTCTGCAGAAGCCTTTAGTTTATCTTGTCTATGTGGGAAGTCCTAGACGATGCCATCAATCTGAAAGATGAGAGGGATGCTCCCTTGACACCTAAACAAAGACTATAGCGCTGTAAGAAAGAACCCCAGCTCCATGCTGAACAGAGTTCTTTTGAACTGCACGATGTTCACACACAAAGGCTGCGTACACATTGCCGTTCGCTCCGGCTCCAGTGCACTCCCACCGCTGGTGTTTCAAGCCATGTACACATGACATTAGTCACAATCCATATCTAACCTGTGATTTCGTGAGAAATACTTGTGCTGTGTTTCCCCTGAAACCAATTTTCATCGGATTTGAGAACAGAAGCCACATTCACTTTGCAGCTACACTGAGGTGTACACACTGAGACAGCCGTTGTACATGTGTGGGTGACAGTGCACACACAGACCACAGCTTCACAAACAAGAACCCAGGGCATCACAGAGGTAGGGAAACCAAACAGATTATGTGCATTGGGGGAAGACATCTGCATCCCCTTTCTGTTCCGTGCAAATGTGACTTGAAATGTGGTAGGGGAAAACAACCTTGCTGCATTTTAAGATACTAATGTGTACATAACCAACCTGTTAGGACAGTTGCCATGGCTTTGTGTTGTGCAAAATGAAGGATGTCTCATGAATGAACCAAAGAGGTTTATCAAACACACATTAAAGGGCAAAACATGCTGTTTGTATTATGTACACACAGAAAGATAGATAGCCAGCACCTTTCATGAGGAACCCTATATTTTCTGAAGGATCAGTTTTTGAGAGGAAATAGCATCTCTTCCTTTCTCTTTCACAAGCTTTGGCCTCTAGAGAATATTGTCTCAAGTCCAAACAAGGAATGGGACAAACACCTATCAAGGAAAGCCTTCAAAATATACATAGTGCCAAAGCTTTTTTTTGGGGGGGGGGGAATTAAACAAACATTTATTGGTTTTTAAACAAATACAATAACCATTAAACACTTATCTAGCAGTACAGCTAATGGTGTGTGTTTTATCTGTTGTCTCTAGACATACACTTCCAGTCAGAGTTAATGTAGTGTAATAATGTCATGTGGTATCAAAGACATCCATGAACTTGGAAATGAGGGAATCTCATCTGTAGGGTGTAAAATACCACACCTTGTCCATTGTGTTTCTCCCATTGTACTGGTGCCTTGAATTTTCCAAGGAAGCAGCAATAGGGGATGTGTGAGTGATTTGCAGAACCTCTTTGTGTGCCTCGTGAGATGCTACACAGGCAAATTTGTGTATCTTTCCTCTGAGGAACTCATGTCTCCGTCCCGCTTCACATGATAATCAGAAGCATAAAAAGACAATGCGTAATTCACATATCACATGGCTCTTTTGAGCTTCCTTGCAACATGCAACACTCTCGTATGTCTGCTTTGGGATTGCTTTTATTAATTATGTTGAAGAGCCTCAAAACTTAGTGAAGTTACTAAGTGGATTTTTAGCAACATATCTTACAAACCTAAGGAAGATGGATCTCTCTACATAAGTACCTTCTCCTGCCTCTCCACCCACCACACACACCAATCTTCTCCATTACTGCCTTTTCAGTCTACCCCCATATTCAGGCTACTTTGTCAATTCTTTTCTTTTTTACCACCTGCTTTTTCCTCTCCATATGTCTCACTACTTACAGGTGAAGTGTGTTCTTGGCACCTCCCATGCCACCCTGATAACCGCCATGAAAAAGTGTGCTATTCTTTCTGAGGCTTTTTTATTATTATTTAGTTGGTGACCAACTAACCATATATTCATGCTGTTGAATGGGAGGTTTTGTAAGATCACGCTTGTTGAACCAGTGCACCCATAATCCACACGCCGCATGAGGACTGTCCTGAATTCTGGACTGATTGCTGCTATTCCAGATGGACGAGCAGGACAAGGGTAGATGATCCACCTCAGCTACTGCCTCACTAAAGCTCCCATGCTAGCTGGTCATGTTCCTACAGGTACCCTTTCCTCTTGTCCTATTTAGCACTATATTTGCTGGGGGAATCTGCCATCTGGATACAGCCTTTGTTCTGCCAACACATGATACATGAGAGCCATTGGAGTGTGCTGGGTAGAGTGTTGAGATGGGATGAGAAAAACCCAAATCCCTGTGCAGCTGTAAAGCTTTATTGGATAGCCCTGGGTAAGTCACCATCTCCAAGCTTAACTTACAAGGTTGCTATATGAGGCTAAACTGCTATTCTGAGTTTCTCAGAGGAAGGGTAGGATACAACGGCAACAAATAAATAACATGGAGGAAGCAGATGGTCACATAACAATACGCTCTAAGGAATGCAAACTACATGGCATCAGATGGAACAATGTAAGCTGAAGTGAAGACAGGGCCTAAGCTTTTATACTAATCAAACAGTAGGTAGAATAAAAAAAAGTGA